GCTCTAGGCATCTACTCTAACAATCTCCCACTTGTACTATAGCCAATCATTCATGTATTTAATACAAATGATCTCAAGTGCCTTTCATGCTTCTGCTGCGACAGAGGCTTTGTTAGTGGATCTGCGAGATTGTCGTCAGTATGCACTTTACTAATCTGCAGCTTTCCTCTCAACTATCTCTCTGATGAGATGGAATCGTCTGAGTATGTGTTTGGACTTTTGATGAGATCGTGGTTCCCTGGCTTGAGCAATTGCTCCATGTTGTCACAATAGATGTCTACAAGATCAACAATCGTGGGAACCACACCAAGTTTAGTAATGAATTCTTAATCCAGACTGCCTCCTTGGCTGCATTTGGCAATGCAATATACTCAGCCTCCATTGTAGAGTCTGCTACAGTGCTTTGCTTAGAGCTCTTCCAGCTCACTGCACCGCCATTGAGACAAATACAAACCTGATTGCGATCGGTAATCATCTTTGTCTGTTTGGAACTAGCACTACAGTGAGCTCATTCCCTCCATAAACCAGAACATATCCTTAGTCCTCTTCAGGTACTTAAGAATATTCTTGACCGCCATCCAATGATGCTCACCTGGATCCGATTGATATCTACTACAAATGCTCAAAGCACATGAGACATCAATCTGAGCACATAGCATGGCATACATGATGGATCCAATTGCTGATGCATATGGGACTCTTCATCCTATCTCTCTCATCTTGTGTTTTGGACACATTCTTTAGAGAGATAAACACCATGTGACATCAGAAGAAATCCTTTCTTGAGTCTTCATACTGAATCTTTTCAGTACTTTGTCAATATATGCACTCTGACTTAGGCCAAGCAACCTACACGATCTATAATGATAGATCTTTATTCCAAGGATGTAGGCTGCTTCCCTATCTTCATAGAGAGACACTTGGATAACCAAATCTTTACCAATTGCAAGTTCAGTATATCATTCCCGATCAGAGTAGTCATCGACATACAACACTAGGAATGCTACTACGCTCCCACTTACTTTCTTGTAAACACAGGGCTCATCTTCGTTCTTGATAAAACCGAATTCTTTTACGGTTTCATCAAACGAATGTTCCAGCTCCTTGAAGCTTGCTTGATGCCATAAATTGATCTCTGTAACTTGCATACCTTATTAGCTTGACTATCAATAAAGAAACACATCAGGTTGTGTCCTATACACATCCTCCTTAAGGTTTCCGTTTAGGAAAGCGTTTTGACATCCATTTGCCAAATCATAGTCATGATATGCAGCTATTGCAAGCGTAACCGATGGATTTAATCATGGCAACCGGCGAAAAGGTTCTTCATATGTCAATGCCATGAATTTGTTGAAACCTTTGGCAAACAGTCGTGCTTTATAAGTATGCACGTTGCCATCCATGTCAGTCTTTTCTTGAAGACCCATGACACCCTATGGGTTTTACCCCTTCAGGTGGTTCCACTAGAGACACACTTGGTTTTTGGTACATGGAGTCATCTCAGATTTCATGGCTTCAAGCCATTTAACGGAATCTGGATCCGATATAGTGTCTTCGTAGGTTCTGGGTTCATCGTCTTGGTAGACTAGTACGTCACCATGTTGAGTCACGAGATACCATATTCTTGGGCTCATAGCGTACACTCCAGATCTACGTAGCTCTTGTGTTACCTGAGGTGGTTCACTTTGTTCCATAAGTTGTGGAGTAACTCCTCATGATGCTCAACTACTTCCTGTGGCACATCATCCCTCCTTGTCTAGTTATATTGTGGTTCTAGAACTTCATCGAGTTTACTTTTCTCCCACTAGTACTTCTTAGAAAATTCTTTTTTAGAAAGATACAAAGAGCAACAAAATTTTGCGCTCTTCTAGGTGGTAGAAATAGTATCCTTTGGTCTCCTTTGGATACCTCACAAATATACATTTACAGGATTTTGGGCCCAGCTTGTTCGAAGTAATTTCCTAACATAAGTTTCGCACCCCAAATTTTAGATAAGACAAGTTGGGCTTTCGCCCACTCCATGCTCATATGGAGTCTTATCTACAGACTTTGACGGCACACGGTTCAAAACATGAGTCGCAGTCTCTAGGGCATAACCCTAGAACGTACAGATAAACACTAAAACTCATCATGGACCTAACCATGTCAAGTAAGGTCCTGTTCCTCCTTCTAACACTCCATTGTGTTGGGGTGTATAAGGAGAGGTGAGTTGTGATACTATCCCACATTCCTTAGGTACTCTGAAAACCCAAAGCTTAAGTATTCACCTCCTCGATCGATCGAAGAGCTTTAATACTTTTGAGCATATTATTTACTATTCCTGAATTCCTTGATTTATCAAAGGCTTCAGATTTATGTCTCATAAGGTAGACATAACCATATCTACGAAATCATCAGTAATGTGATGAAGTATGAATATCCACCTCTGGCTTCAACTGTAGTGGACCACATACATCATATGGATGATGCCTACAGCTTAGTAGCCCTTTCACCTTGTCCTGTGAAAAGAGACTTGGTCATCTTGCCTAACAGTATACCTCAAATGACTAAAGTCAAAAGGGCCAAAACTCCATCCCTTTGAAGTTTTGCAATACGCGTCTTATTAATATGACACAATCTACAGTGCAGAGATATGTCTGGTTTTGATCGCTATGTTTAGCTTTCTTGGTTTCAATATTGAGAATATCTTTATTGTTTAAATCAAGAACATATAATCCATTATAACCTTGCAATTCCAAATAGAATACCATTTAAACTAAAGGACAACAATCCATTAGATATCTCAAAATGATACCCTATATTATCCAAAGCGGATACTAAAATATACTTCTAGAATAGAAGGTACATGATAACAGTTATGTAGTTCCAATAACAGCCCGTAGGCAAAGATAAACAGTAGTCCCTACAGCAACAGTGTGGTGTATGGGAGGGCATGAAACGGATATCAAAGAGTATTTCGACTCTGTTCGGCTTGTCAAAAAATAAGTACCAAGCTTTGAGTCCTACCAGATTATGCAATCCTTATCTATTCCTAATCAGGTGTGGGAAGACATTTCCATGGACTTCATCACTGGACTTCCAAAAGCAAATAATGTCAACACAATTTTGGTGGTGGTTGATAGATTGACTAAGTACCAGCCATTCTTGACTTTTAAAACACCCCTACATGGCCAAGGATGTCACCAACTTTTCATTAAGGAGATTGTTCGGCTACATGGGTTTTCCCCGATTGATTGTTTCCGTTCGTGACCATATATTCATCAGTCACTTTTGGAAAGAATTGTTTAACAATCAAGAACGCAGCTTCGCATGAGTTCGGCCTACCATCCTCAAATAGATGGCCAATCAGAAGTTTTGAATCGGTGTGTGGAGACATATCACATTGTTTTGTGGGAAGTCAGCCTCGTCAGTGGCCTAAAGGATCTCTTGGCCGAGTTTTGGTTAATACAACATTCAATAGCTCTACAGGTATGACACCTTTTAAAGCACTTTATGGTTGTGATCCTCCGACTATCTTTAAGTTTTTGATCATGGTTCGACTATCGATGAAGTGAATTGTCAATTGCAAGCTCTCAATGTCATTAACAGAGTGTAGGAGAATCTCCTCAAAGCTCAAGGACGAATGAAAGCTATGCCAATACAAAGAGGAGGAAGTTCAACTAGAAGTTGGGGATTTAGTTTACCTTAAGTTGCAACCCTACTGTCTTCGCTCTTAGTGTCCGTACAATGAAAAACTAAGTCCCCATTCTATGGCCCTTTTAAGTAAAGAAAGGATTGGGACAGTGGCCATCGCTTGAATCTATTGCCCACAGCTTGCATTCATGATGTTTTCCGTGTGGTCACAACTAAGAAAGCTAAGACCCACCACCTACTACCCAACCCTTCCTTGCAGCACTGGATGAGGATCTTGTTTTGAAGGTCAAACCGGAGGAGGTTTTACGAATGCGAAAACTTCAAATGGCACTTTGGAAGTCTTAATCAAATGGAAAGGCCAACCCAATTATGAGAACACTTGGGAGGATTTCACCTCCATGATCTCTAATTTCCTTTATTCCACCTTGGGGACAAGGTGGCTCTCCTGGGGAGGGTAATGATGAGACCTCTTTAGTGGCACATCTTCAGTAGGAAAATAAGAGAGTGATAGAGGATGGGGGTAGGATTTACTAGTAGAGGACAATCTTAAATATCATTTTACTGTGCGTAAAGCAATGGACATATGGCATCTACAGATTAGGAGTAAAGAAGTTTGTTAGAATGGATAAGGTAAAACGAAAAAGGGTTGATGGGAATGTTCGGGATATCAAAAAGTAAAAAGGAATTTGGGTTGGGGAGGTACTAGCCCTCGAAGCCAGCTGGTTATCTTTTTTATTGTCATTGCTGTTCATTTTCTGATTTGTTATTTTGTGAGTTCTTGTTGAGATCGAACTTGTGTTGTGTTTTGAATATTCATTATAGTACAGTAGAGGTATTTCAATGAAGTTCTAGTTGAGAGTGTTTTGTCTAACAATTTGTTGTTGGTGACTGGGAATTCTGGGAAATTTGGTGATGTGTGGTTTTACAGGTGGATAGAAGAAGGTTTCTTCATATACCCATGTCTCGACTAAAACCGTCACCAGTTAAATTAAAAGCATATAATTTATTCTATGCTAATGTAGAGTAATTTATAAAATTAATTTTTGAGTCAAGTAGTAATTGATAAATAGGTATTAGTTGTAAATTATAATTACGTTTTGAGATATTGTATAATGGAATTTATTAGATTATAATATTTATAGAGTTGTGCGTGTGTGGGACTATATTGGTCATGTTAAGAAATATGGGTTATTTTGTTTTATTATTTATTAAGGGTAGATCTGTCTTTTCATTATTTCCTTTGTTTAGCCTATATATATCTTTGTATTTAGGTTAAATCATACTTTGTGTATTCAATTGAATTGTGCAGTATCAATGAAACCCTAGCCTCCTCCTTTTTATTATTATTTCTTTGGATTGTTTAACAGTGAAGGCAATACTGAGCTTTTATAAAGCCTCATTCTATGGGTTAGAAGGAGAAAGTGTGATGCAGGAGGCCTGGGAATTCAGTTCTAAACATCTTAAAGATCTTGACGATAAGGATGTCGACCAAAATCTTGTAGCGCTTGTTGAGCATGCCTTGGAGCTTCCTTTTCATTGGTGGGCGCCACGATTTGAGACCACATGGTTCATAGATTTATATGAGAGAAAGGAAGACAAGAATCACCTTTTACTCGAGCTTGCAAGGGTGGACTTTAATATTTTACAGGGAATTCTTAATGACACATTGAGGTCAGCAACCCTTCCTCAACTTTTTGTCCCTGTGATTGTATAGCTTTTATTAATGAAATACTTATTGAAGTTGTACCTTTTGCATCCTAACGAATGTAACTTAGTATGTTTCATTACCACATTGATTATAAGATAACGCAATTAATAAATTAGTAACTAACTTATAATTAATCAATATATGGTGTTAACATATAAACAATCACATAAGTAAAAATACAAAAATGAGATTCTAACTTTGTATGAGTAGTGTTACTGTTTATAAAATATTAGTAAAGAGATTTGACAAACAAGTTAAGTAGCAGCTGAAAAAAAAACTTTAATCTCTTATATTGTCTAGATTTCTATGTCAACACTTGAATTCGTATTCTATTTTTAAGGGAGTCAAGTTGATATTTTTCTCTTTTGCTTGTGAAGGTGGTGGGAGAATATTGGTCTTGGAAAGTTTGACTTTTGTTAGGGACAGCTTCATAGCATCATATTTATGGGCTTTGGGTATAGCTTTTCAGCCTCAGTACTCTTACTGCAGGAAAGTCATTACGAAGGCCATTGCTCTAATTACAGTAATAGATGATATTTATGATGTTTATGGTACCTTGCCTGAACTTGAGCTCTTGACTGATGCCAGTACGAGGTAATTGTTGGGCAAAATTTTCTTGTTATACAAACCTAGTAGTTCTAAGAAAAATTTGTATGATGCTTTATATTAGACATGTATTTCAGGTGGGACATTAAAGCAATGAAACAACTTCCCAGTTACATGAAAACAAGTTTTCTCTCACTATTCAATTTTATTAATGAAATGGCTTATCACATTCTCAAAGAACAGAATTCAGACGTCTCAATGACTCTAACCAAAATGGTAATATTATATAATTAGTTTCTTCCTTTATTTTTATGATGTTTGTTGTTTAAATATCTCACTACTCGTCGCTATGTCATTTACATCAGTGGAAAATTTTGGCGCAAAGCTATATGACAGAGGCCAGATGGTACCACAATCAGTATAAGCCAACATTAGATGAATATTTGAATAATGCTTATTTATCAATTACGGGTCCTATTATAGCAACTCTATCATATATATCGTCAGCAAATCCAATATTAGAGAAGGACTTAGAATTTCTAGAAAGCATTCCGGATATTGTAAAATGGTCATCCTTGGTTTTCCGACTTCAAGATGATTTGGGAACTTCACCGGTATAAAATCTAGAATTAATTTATTTACAATTGTTTGTATATACTTTAATTTGAATTCTCAATGAATTGATTGGTCGTGTTTCTTTAATAAATAAATCAGGACGAGATAAAGAGAGGTGATGTACCTAAATCAATCCAATGTTACATGAATGACACTGGTTGTTCCGAGGAAGTTGCCTGCAAATACATTAAGGATCTAACAAGGAAGATATGGAAGAAGATAAATGTATACAGAGCTACAACAAATTGTCCCTTACCCCAACCTATTGTTGAAATGATAATAAATCTTGTGAGAACTTCCCATTATTTTTATCAACATGGAGATGGGCATGGCGGTGGAGGTCAAGAGATTAAGGATGTTATGCTTTCATCACTCTTTCAACCCATTTCATTGGAGGAAATTAAATAGCGTGTTTTTTCTGACATATTCTTGTTGCAAGGAGAATAAGTGTGATCATGTCATTAAATGCTAAAATTAAGGATTTGAATTGTATTGTGTTATAATTAACATTATGAATGATTCACTCAAGGTATCTTCATTAATAATTCATGCTTTGCACACATCATGTGATATGTGGAGGCATTTATAAGTGTATTACCTAATTGTTTCGAGAATGATATATATGATATAATTTTGTATGTTTAAAAGTAATGTCTTTGGCTTCCTTTGAGACTACAAAATTTTTACATTTGTGCATCGATGCATTGTTACATGTGGAAAGGTCATTGATGATCACATAAAGAATTGTCTAACTCTCACCTAAGGACAATGAGTGTTAGCTTCAATCTTTGCCTTAAGCATTTGAAATTATTCATTCTGTTGTGGTGCATCTGTTGAGCTGCAAAGTGTTTAGCTAGACTCAACATTTGAATTTTTTTTATGTTATTGCTTGAATGAATAGCCTATAAGGGATTACAATATAAACTCTAACTAACTGTTTACTGGAGTAAAACACAAGGGAATTAGTAAAGGAATGCTGATTCCTTGTTTCCTTTGCTTCTTAACCAAGGAACAGAAGAAATCCCTATTCCTTAAATAATGGAATCTCATTCCATTCTGTACTCCTTTCTTATTCCCATTTCTTTCTAATTCTCATTGCCATTCTAAATAAACATAGCCTGAAAGACACTGATTAGTTCCCATAACGAATTTCAACACTGATGAATTCTTTGAAAGATTTTAGGTGGATTTTGCGCCAGCAAAGTCATGCGAAAGAAAATTTTTTAAAACATCCCATACTTTTTCTTTCTGCCTTTACCATTAATTCTTGCTGAAAAAAAATAAATAAATAAATAAAATGAGTACATTGACCGTTTTCATAAAAAAATTCTCTTTGTCGTCTGCTATGTTCCCATAAAATAACATTTTTAATTAATAGATGCTAATTTAGTTAAAAAGAACAAAGTTTACCTACAAAGAGAACTTATATAATTATAAGAAACTGAAAAAATAAGGAATTCAACATTAAATATGAAATAAAATTTACACCTGAAAATAAATATAAAAGTTGAACATTATGTACAGAAATGTTGAAGAGTGACACTAGCTAATGTATACTGATAAGACCTCTTTAGTGCACATCTTTAGTAGGAAAAATAAGAGAGTGAATAGAGGATGGGGGCAGGATTTACCAAGCAGAGGACGGTCCTAAATAGCATTTTACTGCGTGTAAAGCAATGGACAGGTGGCATCTACGAATTGGGAGTAAAGAAATTTTGTTAGAATGGGAATTGAGCGTAAAAAGGGTTGACAGGGAATGTTCGGGATATCGAAAAAGTAAAAAGGGAATTTGGGTTGGGGAGGTGCTGGCCCTTGAAGCCAGCTGGTTATCTTTTCTTTATTTTCTTATTGTCAATTTGCTGTTCATTTTTTGGTTTGTTATTTTGTGTAGTTCTTGTTGATGATCGAACTTGTGTTGTGTTTTGAATATTCATAATAATACAGTGAAGGTATTTCAGTGAAGTTCTGGTTGAGAGTGTTTCGTCTAACAATTGTTGTTGAGGTGACTGGGAATTCTGGGAAATTGGGTGCATGTGTGGTTTTACAAGTTGAGATAGAAGAAGGTTTCTATCAAAGTGGTATCAGAGCGTAGTGACAATCGGGGTATGGTTGGAACAAGGATGGAAAACATATTAGATATTATGGAGAAAGACATGGGAACGATGAGGGAATGCTTGTTGGAAATCCAAGCTTGGATTAGACGCAAAGACGACGAAGAAGCCAAGAGAGTTGAAAGCAGTGGGTCGATGGAAATACTTGTTAATCTGAATCCAAACCTAAGGGAAGAGAATGATGAACCTAATCCAAATACGAATGGTGAACACATAGTAACAGGACGAAGTCGACCAGAATTTGTTGGCTGGAAAATTGAAATGTCGATATTCATGGGTGAGGATCCTTATGGGTGGTTATTTAGGATCGAACGATACTTTAATGTGTATGACATGGCGAAAGAGGAACGATTGAACATAATGGCGGTGTGTATGGAGGGAGATGCAATAAATTGGTTTCAATGGATGGAAATTCATGCTCCCGTAGCATCCTGGCCTACATTTAAACTTTCCCTACTTCATCGATTTGGTAGATCCCAAGAGGGAGGACCGTATGAGGCGTTGATGGGAATCCAACAGACTGGCTCTATGGAAGATTACCACTATAATTGTGAAGCATTGTTGGCACCATTACGAGATGAGAAAGAAGGCATACTTTGGGCTACCTTCCTAAATGGGCTCAAGCCAGAAATTAAAGTAGAAGTCAGGTTGGGACAGCCCAATTCACTAATTCAACTGATTGAATTGGCCTAGAAAATAGAAGAAAAAAATTAGGCTTTGGATAAATTGAAGAATGCGCTAAGTAGGGGTGTAAGGCCCGAAGGAGTAGGTGGAGTTAATAGAGTGGGTTGGACTAATAATAGTGGGCCGGGTAAAAATTTTGGGCAAAGTGAAAATGGATTAAAAAACTCATATGTGACCAACCCAATGGCAACTTCAGGCAGCGCAAATACAAATACAAATCCTAATTTCAATGCGCAAACAAGCCAAAATTGGAACTATCGACATCTCAATGTCGTTTCGAGCGACAGCCAACACGGCAGCAACAATTCCATTCAATGACCACTGACCAATTCAAATTTTAGGAGAGAGTTCCCTTTTAAACAGATGACTTAACTTGAGATTTAGAGAAAAAGGGCGCATGGGATATGTTTTCGGTGTGATGCAAAGTTCTTTCCAAGCCATCATGTGAGGACAAATAGTTCCACATCATTCTGATTGATGAGGAGGACACCCAGGATGAGACGAACAATAGTGGAGGTGAGTTAAGTTAATTTGTCGCAGAACAATTGCAAAATGATGCAGAGGTTTCGATTAGTTCTATTGTTGGTATTTCGGGTCCGAAAACTATGAAATTGAAGGGTAAAATCAGAGGCGTTGAAGTGATAGTGTTGATTGATAGTGGAGCTTCACACAATTTTATTAGCAAGGGCGTGATAGAAAAATTGGGGATATCAGTGATGCAGACTCAGACATTTGGAGTGAGAGTTAGTGACGGTTATAGAGTGCGGTGTAAGGGAGGATGTAGGGATGTGCAATTGGATGTCCAAGGAGCTCCAATTACACAAAAACAAAAAAAAAAAATCCCATTTCAGATGAACAGTGCGGATGTAGTTCTGGGAATTGCTTGGTTGGAAACTTTAGGGGAGACAATAGTCGATTGGAAGACACAAGTGATGAAATTTAAGTTAGGAGACAGAGGAGTGAAGATTATGGGTGATCCCGCCTTAAGCAAGACCCTGATTTCATTAAAAGCTATGCTTAGGACGATCCTGTTAGAGTAGATACCCTAGAGTCAATCAATTATTGTAGAATTGACTCTTTGTAATAATGTTCATTAATCAATAAAAGACATTTTATTCTATATCGCGTAAATCATTACTATTGCAATATGTATTGATATATGTCCTTAGAATGGTAGAACCGTGACGAGGGTATCAAGTGTTTCAAATCTTGATAATGAGAACCCTATGAGCACATATGGTGGCCATTCTAGAAACGTCCATAGCCTCAATATTATTCTGAAGTAAGGGCATAGATAATACGGTAAGGCTATCATAGTGTTGAACGACCATGTCAAAAGCTAGTGACTGATCTCACTTGTCAAGGTTGTTTGGTGACAACCTAGTGCAACACATGGGTGCTTGTTGTAGGCGAATATACCACAGCAAGTTCACTAGACTGACCCACTAGAGGATTCCATATGGATGGTAACCCGAGTGCCTATGAAAAAAATCCTCTAACGAATGGTGTTGCATGTGATCTTTAGACTTGAGATCACCGGAGCGCCTTGTGCACCGATTGGTGTAGTTTGACACTAGTCTAATGCAGTTCTATTCACAGCTGTCAATACGGTGGTGATTGGCTGCATCAAGGAGTGTATCAAGACTATGGTGGATAGATAGAGGATTCATCACTCCCAGGTACGGGAGAAGTTATCTCACGGCGCAATTCAGTATATGGCAATGACACTAAAACTATGGCCACAGTGGGATTGAGTTGTTGCTTTATCTGGATTATAATACAGGTCATTGGTCCAGAAACTGAATACATAATATCGAGAGTAACCGAAGGTTGACACTATTTCTATGCCTTTGTCTAGTCGAGATAACGTATGATGAAAGGATCGAATTGTACGGTAACCATATCGTTGACAGGTAGTTACTTTGCTGAATCCGAATATATCGGGTGGCCATGATGCCTTGCTAGGGGCTAATCTTGGTCTGTGTATTAGTGAGACGATTAATTGGTGTTTATCGCGATACTATACACTGCCGGTATGATGAGGAGCCTATGGGTCACACTCATAGAAGATAATTTAAGACTAAGGAAGAAAGAAGGGCGTTTTCGTCTTTTTAGGTGAAAGGGTATTTTGGTAATTTCACAGTGTAATTAAATTTACTGAGGTTGTAGCCTTTATTTAATTTATTAGAAAAATTAAATAAGTGAAATTACGTTTAAATATGTGTTCGCACATATTTAAATATATTATCATTATTGTTAAATGTTAATATATAGATTAAATATATATTAATTGATTTTAATTGAGATAATGATGAAACAAAATAAAATATCTAATTGGGAGTGTTTGGTAACATGAGGCATTTGGGTTGAAGCCCAAGCCTATTTCATATGGGAATAGGGCATTAAAGTAACACTATAAAAGAAAAGTGTTCATTGAAAGAAATGTGATTTTTCATTTAGTTCATTTTCATTGTAAAAGAGAAATACACACAGCCCCAAACTCTTTCCCACGACAGTATTTCATTTTGCCCAAAATCAATTCATTTGATTTTTCTTCTTTAATCTTAAAGCTAAGAAGGATCCAGCAAATCCCTCCTTAGTTCTTTGTGATTG